AAAGCTTATAACTTTTGTTTGTGCTGAATTAATACTCTAAAAAAACCTTACTAATCCCTCTGAAAAAATTGTCATTGCTCTACACACATCAAGAATATAGATCGCCATTGACATTAAGTGCTGATCAACCAATTTCTTTGCAAAGAACTTAGCCTTTGATTTCTGTGTTGCGCTGTAGTCGCTTTCCAAGCTGATAGTGGTATAACTATGAATATGCGCTTTTAGACCATTGAGAAGATTCTCCAACGCATTTACCATATGCGCAACCTATCTAGTACTTAACTCATAACCCATCTGGTACATTAACTCGTATGACTCTGCATTTGGCCTAAAAATTAAAATACTAAATTAAATAAATATAAAATTGCCTAAATTAATTAATATAAATTTTGATTGTTAATACTACTTAAAAATAATAAGTAAAAATACGTTAAGATATTATCAATATAACAAGACTTATTTCTTAAAATACCTTTTACACCATAAACTTTGCATGCGTTACAATAAACCGCTGATAAAACAGTAGAATTTCGATGAAAAATGAAGAGTTGCTCACAAAATAGCTGCAGAATTTGGAGTTCCTTTGAAGTGCTGGCTGCATCTTTCAGTGCCAGCTGCAATCGGTGCGACAAACAATGTAAGTGAGAAAATTGTTGCACCTACTAGCTGTTGCTGAACACTATGTCTCCGTCCAGTTAAAACATTAGCGCCATCTGTAATTAAACTTACCATTATCAGTAGTAACTAGCTTTTAAAGTACTAATTAAATTGCCTTTCCAGATGTGATCTAGAGTCATTAGTCATTTCTTTAAATTTTTTTTTTTTCAGTATATGTAGAATTTCGACAAACTGGACAAATTTACTTCTATTACTTATCTTTTAAATTATTACATATCTCTAAAATTTAATTAACAAAAAAAAAAAGAATGTTTAAACGACAAAACCTTTTTGTTTTTATTTTACTTGTATTTTCTAATTAACAATAGAAAATGCGGTAAACAAACTTTAGTATTATGACTTTTAAAATAGAGTTTTATTATTATTTTAGTTACTTATTGCATTAGTTACTTTGCATATTTTAAATCTCTTAAATTACACAATCAAAAAAATAGAACTGCCGATAAAAATCAATAGTCGCCCTTTCGGGCGACTATTGATTTTTATTACATAAAAAAAATATTTTGAGTCGCCCTTCACAATATTCGGTCGCCTGGTGCCATCGGGCGACCACGAGTGTACATCCCTGTATATATATATATATATATATATATATATATATATATATATATATATATATATATATATATATATATATATATATATACACTAAAAAAAGAGCTAATAAAGTAGTGTTTATTGGAGTGCAAAACCCTCAGATGAGTTCTGCTGAAGAACGTTCAAGTGAAGACACAAGTATTGTTAGTGATATACTGCAGGCAATCCATCTACCTGTAAATATAAAAGCTATTAATCATCTGACTAGTTTAAGCCTTACATCTGCACATTTTATAAATAATAACCTTCCTGCTCCTATTATAGTAAGATTTGACTCACCAAATGTTTATAATAAGGTAATCTCCTCAGCAAAAAAAGTTATGTAACACAAAATATAAAGATATCTTTATCCAACCTGATCGTATTTCATCAGAGCAAGCTAACTTCAATAAGCTATATGCTGAAAAAAAATTGGATGAACAGCTCAAATCCAATACCGATACCATTTGCTGTATCAATGTCACTAAAACAATCTCAATTTGTGGAGCCGATAAGCATCCCTTCTTGAACAAAAAAACAGCTGCAGTTGCAAGAAAAGTTAAAAGTGATAAATCTTTGCAAGCATCCACGTCAACCACAAACAATAAGAGCAATGCCCTCCAAATTATATAAACTACAGCTACATGCCCAACAACTAAAAAAAACTCATCATCTGTCAGTTATCTAAACTGTTTTTATACCAATGCTACATTGAACCAGCTACTAATTTTTAATACAATGCTATATTTATTACAGAAACTCGGTTTAACGAATTTTCAGCACCCCCTTTCCCTAATCATAATATTTGCAGAAAAGATCAACCTACCCATGGTGGTGGTATTGCAATAAATTAAAAAAAAATTATAGCATAAATGAATGCGCAAAATATAAATTGCATAAAGGAATTAAACATTCAAAACAACTCTGGCTTGAACTGATATTAAATAAAGAATCTCTTCTTATAGAAAACATTTATTCCCCACCAACAAGCAGCATATCAGCCTTCAACGAAATTACTAGATCCATTTCATATTCAAAACCTCTTATTGAAAACAAAAATTATAAAGGTTTTATTATTACTGGGGATTTTAACTTTGCAAACATCAAGTGGAGCAAAGGTTGGTTAAATACAACAAGCGGTGAAACCTGTTTGGTCGCCAAATTTGCTAATATTATTTTTGAACTCCACCTCTATCAACATATAACTAAACCAATTTTTATACAATCTAATGGTTCTTCAAAAAATACACTCAACCTGATAATCAGCAAATCTGTTGATCGAATCAATGAGATCATCTTCAGCCCACCTCAAGAAAATAAATTACAAGGTCACTGTACTTTGTCTGGCAGTATAATTTATCTAATGCTATTATCAGCAATAATCTCTCCAGAAGTTCTAAATTTGCATACAATAAAAGGAATTACAATGCATTTAATGATTATCTTTCCAATTTGGAATGGGAAAAACTTTTTGAAAATTTAGACACAGATGAATGCTACCAACTTTTTTGTAATATTTACAAGACATGCTGTAAAAGTTTCATCCTTTTCATTACTTTAAAAAAAACAAAACAGAAATTACCATGGATAACCCGTGAACTGTTATTCTTAATCAAACACAAGAGAAAACTGTGGTTTCTTAAAGTTTACAGCAAATGGAAAACCATTCCTCTTGTTAATGAGTACAAACAATCTCAAAATATGATAAAAAAAGCAACTTGTGTTGTAATCTATACCTATGAAATCAATTTAGTTAATGGCAAGAAAAACCCCAAAAAATTTTTGCTTATATTAATAGCAAACACACTGTAAGCAACTAGATTGTGTCATTACAATCTATGACTGGTGAAATTAGTAACAACCAAGTTTTTATTGCCAACACACTAAACAAACAGTTTCAATCTGTCTTTTCCATTGAACCTCACAATCAAACTTTACCTCTTTTTACTAAACGAACAGCTGTATCACTTCCTTATATCTTTTTGATTATGAGTCTGTTCGAAGTCACCTCATTACTTTTGATGGTTATAGATCTATAGGTGAAGATCAGATAAGTCCTTACGTACTTAGGGCATGCTCTAACTCAATAGCAACTCCACTAGCCATGACCTATCAAAAATCAATGGAACAAGGCCTGTAACCAAAGGCATGGTTTGTAGCAAATATCACTCCTTTGTTCAAAGGAGGTTCTAAAATGAATTCAAACAATTACAGACCCATTTCCATTACTTCTGTGCCATGCAAAATAATGGAGAAAATAGTTAAAAATAAGATAATGCAGCACCTAATGTCTCAAAATTTTATTGTCAGCATAGTTTCATAAACATAAAATCTTATGTTACTAATTTACTTGAGACTATAGATTTTTTGACCTACAATAAATCATGTAAGCTTCCTGTTGACATTGTCTTTCTAGATTTTGCTAAGGCGTTTGACAAAGTTCCTCACACTAGACTGCTACAAAAGTTGAAATCCTATGGAATGTTAAACTGGATTAAAGCGTTTCTTTTAAATTGCACTCGACCTGTCCTACTTAAAAATGTTACATCAGAATGGGAAAAAGTTACTATTGGCGTTCCTCAAGGCTCATTAATGATTTACTAGAATAAATAAGTAGCAAAAATACATACAAAATGCATGCAGAAGACACAAAAATCTTTAGTGTGGTCAGAATTGAAGAGCAAAAACTTTGTCTGCAAGCTGACATTGACAACATTGTTAATTGGGTTCAAGAACCGCTTATGGAAATAAATATTAGGAAATGTAAAATAATGCATTTCAACCAATCCAAATTCGTTACACATCATTACTTTATTGATGACTGTGGCTCAAACAACAGTCCCAACAGAATTCAATTTGAATCAACCTCATCAGAAAGAGACCTTAGTGTTTTAATTTCCAATGACCTAAAGCAAAACTTCCAAACATCTATTGCTGCAGCCAAGGCTAACAAAATGCTTGGTATCCTAAAACACAGCTTCATAAGCATGAAGAGATGCAAAACTCTGGAAAAAGTTATATACAACTTGTATACATCCACTTTTAGAATTTTTCATTACCGCTTGGTGTCCTTATTTAGAAAAGGATGTTTCTGTAATTGAAAGCATTCAACGAGATGTTACAAAAGTACAGCAAGAAATGAAACCTTTTGATTATAAATCAAGATTTATCAAACTTGGTCTCACTTCTCTATGCAAACAAAGAAAATGATTGGACCTTATTCAAAAATTTAAATTAGAGAATAAAATCGAGTTAGTTAACTGGTTTATTAATCTAATTAACATTCCCGCCAGCTATGGCTTTCACATCGGGTACCATTGTGAAATTAACAAAAACTGTCAAGTTCGATACAACTTTTTTAACAATTATGTAGTAAAGGCATGGAATGCTTTGCCAGACAATGTAGTAAATACTAACTCAGTGAAAAAGTTCAAAACTAATTTAGACCGCCATCTAAAACAGTTACCATAGTACATCATTTTCCATGGCTGCTTCAATGCTCTTACGAATTAGCTTTGCTAGTTAATATGAACTTACAGTTCATGTATTGTTCCGTGTAACTTAATAATAATAATAATAATAATAATAATAATAATAATAATAATAATAATAATATATATATATATTCATATATATATATATATATAATATATATATATATATATATATATATATATATATATATATATATATATATATATATATATATATATATATATTGTAAACAACAACAAAATTTTAAATACCTGTCCATCTTGAGCACAGCTTGCAATTGTTGCATTATTTGAATTGGGCATGAACTTTGCCTGGAACATATATTATACAAATATATTATAAAGCCTGTACACAAAATAAATGTGAAAGTAGAAAAACTACTAAAAAAAAGGTATTCATCAATTTTAATTTAGAACTAATTAATAATTTTAATACATTAATATAAAAGAATAAAAAATTTGCTGTGTCAGACACAACTTTCGTGTTGTTTTGTATATTTCATAGCCAGCTACAGTTAGCCAGCTAACTGTAATGACTTAAAGCTAAAGATCAAAACACATGACATATCGTTTGACATAAACACATAACATATCATGTGACTTAGTGAGAGGTAAATTACATTTTTGTAATCAGTCTTTAACATACATTTTACCAGAAATTGTGAACTCAGGTTGCTAATTTTTTGCCACACCTGCAAATAGCTCACACCTGTAGATAGCTTGCAAAAAAACATTTTTTAAGAAATTTATCATGTTTTTAAAACATACATTAAACCCACAAAACAACAAAACTTGTTTTCAAAATCTTGTTTTCATAACAACATTAAATACACAAAACTTTTGTGTAAATTTCTTTTCTGCTTTTCCTTTATGTTTATCAATATCATAGACCTCCTTTTTTTTTTCCACCACCAGATTTTTATTTGAACAGTTTTGTTTTGGAAAAATGTTGAGTAACATGAATAACTGTATAGAGATGTATTTGCAACACTTTCTTCTTTTGTGATTTTAAAAATTGATCTTAAGTTAAATGGGAAAACTAAAACTTTTTTTAAAACCGCAATATGCTGTAAACAAAATACAAGCACAATTAAAAATATATTAATACAATTACTGAAAAAAAAAACATTTTTTTTTTTCACTTTATTTTGTGTATATGGTTTATATTTCATACTGTTACATCGGTCACAGCTTTAATTATAGTTTAGTGCTCAAAAATATAAATAATTATTTATAATTTCCAAGCTCAAGCAAATAAAATACATCAAGTTTTTAAATTCAAAGAAAATAATATTGGGTTTGGAACAAGCCTATCTTTACTAGCAAATCATGTAATTGAACAAAGAGACTCAAAGCTGACAAGAAACACTTTTCAGCTATTTTTTGGCATAAAAATAAATAAATAAATAAATTTTTCATATCAATTTTTGCTCAATTACAAAAAATATAATTATTTGTCTGTTCAAATTGACATTGATTAGATTAGATATTGATTTTTAACAACATAACATTAAAATTGAGTTTCATGAATAAAATGTAACAAAAAAATACCAGCTGATTACCAAGAAGTTGTAATTTTTCCCCATGTATTACTTTAAATCACTATAAATTTAATTAAAGTCCTATTAATTAATTAACCATAATTTTAAAGTTTTTTTAATAACTTTTAATAATTAATTAATTTAATAAGTTTTCAAAATAAGTAAAAGCATTTTAAGTATTTTTCTGTTTTATAAACAAAGAATTAACCAAAATAAATACACCTTATTTTGCTGTTTATATCATTGATAGACCATTCAACTACTTGAGTTTTTCAACTATCCGAATATTGAATAAAAAAAATATGAAAATACTTTTCCAATAATTTTTTATAACTTTAATACTCCAATGCTTAATTATTTAACCAAAAGTTGTTTTAATTGAAACTTCTTTAATCAAAAGTAATCTAAACTTGTTTTAATTTAAGTAATAAGTAAACTTGTTTTAATTGAAATTTCTTTTTATTTTAATCAAATCTGTTGTTGAAAATACTCTTTTAGAAGTTGTTGAGTAGAAGCTGCTGAGTAGAAGCTACAAAGCTGTTGAGTAGAAGCTGTTGAGTAGAAGCTACGAAGCTGTTGAGTAGAAGCTGTTGAGTAGAAGCTACGAAGCTGTTGAGTAGAAGCTGTTGAGTAGAAGCTACGAAGCTGTTGAGTAGAAGCTGTTGAGTAGAAGCTACTAAGATGTTGAGTAGAAGCTACTAAGCTGTTGAGTAGAAGCTGCTGAGGTTAGGCAAATTGTTATTAGGCAAAGGGTGATTTTTTGAAAATTGTTATAGGCAAAGGGTAATTTTTTGAAAAAATCTTATTAACAAAACTCTTTCTTAGTTCAATATATTTATCAATTTGGTAAAAATTTTTGAAGAATGTGAATCTGAATAGAACATATTGCATTTTGGAATTCCTTTTGCAGCTCTGTTTTTAATCCAACTTGTGATGTTACTTCTATTAACCTGCATTAGGTGAAGATGAGGATGCATTATTATTAACATTAAAATAGTTATCTATAAATATTTGTTAAACAATTCATTTTCAAACTTGTTTTATTGAAATTTCACAATAAAAATAATCATTGCCTAATTTTTATATTAATCACTGAGTAAATTGCAACTAATGTGAACAGATTGCTACAAAAATTTGAAAAATATATTTTGACTAAAAAAAAATTTACCTGGAAAACATTTCGTGTGTGTCCACTGTTGTATGTTAAAAAG